TGCTGAGACAGTGATTGAGGTTGGACGTAGTGATGCGCTCCTGTAATCCCAGCACTTGGGGAGGCTGAAAACAGGAGAATCACTACTAGTTCAGTCTGTGTAGTGAGACCCTGTAGGCCCTGTACTAAACACACAGAGAGAGAGAGAGAGAGAGAGAGAGAGAGAGAGAGAGAGAGAGAGAGAAGCCCTCTGTCCAGCACAGGTTTCATTAACTGTGCAAGGAGAAGAAACCGCACCTCCTAATCTTCACCATTATTTTGTCCTGGGCCTGGTATGACGGAGGCTGTCAACTCACCTAGCACCTCCTCCCGCTTTTCTTTCCCCCCCAAACAAAATACAGTAAAACCTTGGATTGCAAGTAATTCAAGAGTTCTGTAAGACAAGTGAACATTGCTAATAAATTTTAACTTGCTAAAGAGTGATGTCTTGCAATATGAACAGCACATGGCTGAATGTCTCATGGTCACAACAGAGCCAACAGCTCCTGTCTCTGTCTGTCTCTCTGTCTCTATCTCTCTATCTCTGTCTCTCTTTCTCTCTGTCTGAAGGATTGTGGGTGGTCCTCTCCCAACAGCAAGAGGTACTAGAGATCTCATCAGCAGAAGAGGAGAAAAAGGCAGAGGAGGAATCCCTCACTTCAAATGAGATTAGGGCGATGTGGAAAATGTGGGAAAGTGCAAAATTTTATAGAAAAGCACTGCCTGATAAGGCCACAGCGATGCGAGTGATCAGTCTTTTTAAAGACAATGTGATGTCACATTTCCATGAAGTCCTCAAAAGGAGCCAAAAGCAAGCGTCATGGGATAGGTTCCTTGTTAAAGTTGCTTGCTTGCTTTCTCTCTCTCTCTCTCTCTCTCTCTCTCTCTCTCTTTTTTTTTAGGTACCAAGGATTGAACTCAGGACCTTGTGCTTGCCAGACAGGTGCTTATGCCACTGAACTCCTTCCCCAGCTAAAAAAAGACAGTTTCCATTGAGCCAACAGATGCAGTGATGCCCTTAGTGGTGGTAAAAGTCATCCTGTACAATAACCCTCCTCTTTCTTGTCATCCTTACACCGACCACAAAGGTTTTCAATGTTAAGTACAAGTTAATCTGCTTACTTTTCTTTATATTTTATATTTTATTGTTTTGTATTATATTACACTTTTAATCATTTTTTATGATTATTTTTGGGTTATAGAACAAATTGTCTGAGTTTCTGTTATTTCTTATGGGGAAATTTACTTTGTTATAAAAGTGCCTTAGTTTACAAGCAAATTATGCTCGAAAGCCAAGGTTTTACTGTACTCTATTTTTCACCCTCCCTTGTAGCTAGAGCTGAACATATGACATGGTCCTGGCAAATATGCATACATTTGTGGACATCATTCCCCTCTCCCCCTTCTCTATCCTGGAATGTGGACTCAGGGTTTGGAATGACAACAACCATCCTGTGACAAGGAGGAGAAAGCCAACTGGATTTTTTTTTTTTTTTACAGAGATCTTGTCCCTAAATTCATTGAGCTGCCAACTCTGTACCAGAAGCTGATATTCTGTGAATTTTATTTATTTATTTGGTACAGGGTCTCACTACACAGCTTGGACTCATAGTGATCCTCCTGTTTCAGCCTCCCCAGAACTGGGATTACATGCATGTGCCACCATGCCTGGTTTTGGTGGCTGGTACGGCATGCCTGGGGTTCTGGGGCTGGCCTGGCATGCAGTACCAGGGATCGAACTCCAGTTCTTGTGCATGCCAGGCAGGTGCTTAGACTGCTGCGCTATCTCCCCAGCCCTCCATTTGTTTGTTTTTGAGACAGCATCTCATTATGTACTGCAAATTGACCTTAAACTCACTTGTGTAGTCCAGGCTGAACTCATGGTGATCCTCCTGCTTCAGCCCCCTGAGTGCTGGCATTACAGGCATGTGCTACCATGCCCAGCTCATAGCCTTCTCTGTATGCTAGGAAAGGGCTACAATGCTCTATCCCTAGACTTTTTCATTTTATTTCGAGACAGTCTCTTACGGTACTGCCCAGGCTGCTCTTGTGATCCTCCTGCCTCAGCCCCTTCCAAGTAGCTAGCATTACATGCATTACAACCACACCCAGCTTTATATAGTGTCTTTATATCACACTGAATGTTCGTGCTCACAATATAGTGATATTTATGTCATTTTCTATTTTGCCCGTGATATGTTATAAATATTACAGTTCCTTCAGATCTTCTTGGGAGAGAGGTGACACCCAGGAAACGAAAGGGTTTACTTAGCTGGGGGGACAGTGACGGAGGGGTGCCTTCCTTTCTTCTGGCTTTGCTTTATGGTTTCTGATTGTGCTCTCTCCCTCCCTGCCATTCCCCCTGATGTCCCTCAGGGGTTTGGTGGCAGGCTGGGGACTGGAGCATGAGATTTCTCAGTTCCACGGGGCAGAGGGGCAGTGGAGGGAAAGGGCCAGGGGTCTCAAGACCGGAAAGCTCTCTACTAAGTCCCTTAAGTAAAGTGAGCAATATGGGAGGGGATACAGCTTCCTGAAGGTGCCAGAAGATGTGGAGAGCCAGACAGGAGCCAGCAGGGCGACTGGCCCAGCAGAGCCAGAGGCAGCTCAGAAGGATGCACAAGGCAGGCAAAGGTGCGTGCGTCTCCAAAGCCCCCAGCAGGGAGGGATGTGTGGGTCCCAGGCGGGATCTATTCATCTGCAGCCCACACCACAGTTTGTGCTCTGCACAATGCACAGGCAGGTTCAGGTCCAGGGCCAGCACAGCTTCCTGTCCTCTGCCCTCTCCACCTGCCTGGGTCTCAGCAAAGCAGCTGGGGTACCTAAGTGAGTCTCCCATCCTCCCATCCCTCTCCCTCTTGCCTTCTTCTACAGTCAGCACCGGCTCTACAGGCTCTCTGGCATCCAAGTCTGAACTGCCCTCCCCACTTCCTGGCTCCATTCTCCTCTCCGTGAGCCCTTCATTGACCAGGCTCCCTCCTTCCTCCCTCCACTTGCGTCTACTTTGGGGTCAGCCCAACCTCCGCCACCTGAGCTGGGCCTCAGTGCTTCCGAGATGCTCTCACCAAGGACCCAAGCCTTGCCGCAGCCCTGACACTGCGTGACCTGCAGCCTGCAGCACGGCTGGCAGCTCCTCCCTGACAGCCTCCACTTCGTTGATTTCTGAGGTGAAGCTGATAGTTACCTGTGGGAGATCCAGACTTTTTTCTTTCTTACTAATTAGAACTCCTTCTCCTCATCCCCAAACCATGCCATCTATTGGCTTCGCCTACATGTGAGGGTGACCAGGTAGCAGTGCAAGCCAATGAAATCTAAATGGAAGTTATTAAATGGGCTGTAAGGAAAGCCCCTTAACAGGAAGGGAGGCAGTTGATTGGTGTATGTATGCCATTTATTTCTGACTTGTCTACCTTTCTCCTGCCTGGAGCACAGTCCTGATGGCTGGAGCTAGAGCAACCATTTTGTAACACATGGAAAAGCACCATGAAACACATGGAGAAGATACAGATTCTACCATCCTACATCTCATGCTGGCAGTTTCTTATCTCCTCACCCTGTTTCATAAGAAAAATAAGCTCCATCTTGGTTTTTTTTTTTTTTTTTTATGTACTTAGTACAAGATCTATAAGGTCTACCGGGTCTTACTACACAGATCAGACTCATAATGATCTTCCTGTTCTTCAGCCTCCCAAGCCCTGGGATTATAAACGCGCACTGCCACACCCCATCTCGATTGCCATCTCAGCATGCCCTGGGGGCGTGGGGCTGGCACAGCAGGCCAGGGATTACACCCGGGTCCCTGCGTCTGCCTAAGCAGGTGCTTTAATCTGCTGAGCTATCTGGCCGGCCCTCCATCTGTGTCATTCACTGGGTTTTCTATGATACGTAGAAATCCATTTCTCATGACTATGCCACTTGTGTCCCCTTCTTGCATGTCCCCTCCATGTCAGGAGTCCTCAGCCTCTGTCCCAAGCTTTTCCCTCTGTTTATCAAGTGATTCTTGGTGACTTCTGCTGCCTCTGGTGACACCAAATTCTTGCCCAGATCCCCTTCCATAGCCCAGGTCCACAGAGCTGAAGGCCCAGGAGCCTCTCCAGCCACCCCTTCTCAGAGCCCAGTTCATTGCTCACAGCTGACCTTGCTAGCTCTCCCGCAATTCTGCTCTTCTGGCTCTTAGAGCAAGTCACCTCCCTCTCTGCCCAAGGGTCCAGAGTCCCCTCGCACCTCCTGATGGTTCCAGTGTGCCATCACTTCTTCAGTCCCACTGGGCAGCACAGATACCACTGTCTCTTGCCTGGGCTTCTGCATGAGCCTCCTATCTAGCCTTCCTGACTACTGTGATCTTTCAAACCAGTTCTGGGTTACTTTGTTTGCTTTACTCCTTCTGTTTTAGTTTTGCTCATGACCTTTGTACTGAGCTATATCCCCAGATCTTTTCAAATTGAGACAGGATCTCAATAATTCACTAAGTTGCCCAGACTGGGTTGGAACTTGTGATGTTCCTGCCTCAGCCTCCCAGAATGCTGGGATGACACCTGGTTGGGTTGGTCTTTTGAAAAGGCAAATCTGATCATCTCGTTATTCTGAGAAAGCTTACATGGCTCCTTGCCCCCCACCAGAAGGCATCTGATGCCTTTGTTGAGCTCAGCCTATAGTATCTTAGTAGATTCCTTTACACCTCATAAAATCATTTGCCATTTCCCAAACTTGCCATGATTTTTCTTATTTTCTTGTCCTAAGTGCCTGAAGTGTGGCTTGCGTACAGAAAACTACAGGTGGAATGTACTTAGACCTTGGCATGGATTTAGCTCTTTCCATCTCCCATGGAACGCCAACTCACAGAGAGAGCTCCCCTGCCCCCTACAAGCAGAGAGCAACGTGGCTCCAAGGAGGGGCCATTGCTTAGGTTCCATTCTACCTGCAGCAAGGTGACACTTGAGGACTTTAGGGAAAAGAAAGCCAGAAGCGTTAAGCCCACAGCTGCTTGCCCTCCCCAGCCCAGTCTACTCCATGGTGGCCACTCACCCTCTGGGTGACAGGCTTGTCATCCTGGATTTGCACGGCCAGTCCCATGTCAGACAGCCTGCAGTTGCCCAGGTCATCGAGCAGCACGTTCTCAGGCTTCAGGTCCCGGTAGACGATGCCCAGGCCGTGGAGGTGCAGCAATCCGCAGGCCATCTGGGCCGAGTAGAAGACCACCTGGCTCATGGCCAGGCCCCGGGTGCCCACGCTGTAGATGTGGAACTTGAGATCACCCCCGTTCATCAGGCTCATGACCAGGCAGAGATGGGACTTGTTCTCAAAGGCATAGGCCAGTGAGACAATGAAAGGGCTATTCACCTTCTCCAAGATTTCCTTTTCCAGGAGAGCCATTTTTTCCCCATTTTTCTTCTTCAGCCGTTTCTTGTCCAGTTTTTTACAGGCGTACATCTTACCAGTGTTTTTCACCTGGACAGCACATACCTGAAGAGAGAGAAAAAAAGAGAGAAGATGAGGTGAAAGCAGAGGGCCTTGAAGAGCGGTGGAAGAGGTGGAGGAAGAGATGTGTAGGAACCAGCTGGGGTGAACAGAGGGCTGGACAGGAGGGAAGATGTGAGGTAGAAGGCCTCTCGGGAAAGAGCAGGGCTAGGTTGCTACCACACTGCCTGTGATACCACTCTACCTCACTTGGCTGGCCATAATAAAATGAAAAAAGAGCCAAGAGCGGGGAGCATTCAGTGGCAGCCTCCTGCCTAATGTGCACAAGGTCCTGAGTTCACTCTTCAGCAGAGCCAGGCGTGGTGGTGCATGCTGTAATCCCAGCACTCAGGAGGCTGAGGCAGGAGGATCACTGTGAGTCCAAGGCCTGCCTGGGCTACAAAAAGAGTTCAAGGCCAGCCTGAACTGCATAGCAACACCCTATCTCAAAAAAAAAAAAAAAAAAAAAAAAAAAAAGAAAAAATCTCTGGCATGAGAAAAAGGAGGGGGATAGCAGGAGAATGACAAGTGTTGGCAGTAATGTGGGGGAAAATTGTAACCCTCAAGTTTTGCTGTAAGGATGTTAAATGTGCAAAAGACTTTGATGGGTCCTTAAAAAAACTAATCACACAATCTCCATATGACACAGCTATTCCACTTGTACGCCTACACCCAAGACAAATGAAAACAAACATTCAAACAAACACTTGCTTGATCCTCAGCACTGCAAAATAAATCAACCAGAAATAAAGAAGCCCCAAATCCCCATACGCGAATGTTCATAGCAGCCCTATGTGCAGCAGCCCAAGTGGACTGGTGGAGGAGGCAGGGGGCACCTCCTCACCACAGCGGCACTGGTGCAGGCTACAGCTTGAATGAGCCTCCTGAACACCATGGCCCCTGAGAGAAGCCAGATGCAAAATTGTATGAAATATCCAGAACAGGCAAATTCCTAGGAGCAAAAAGCAGCCCGGTGGCTGCCAGGGACCAGACGGGGTGGGAGTGGGAGTGACTGTTCATGGGTCCTGGGGTGACAGCAGTGTCTTGGAACCAGACAGAGGTGGTAGCTGTGCTATGGTCAGTGTGCTGTGTGCTAAATGCCGCTGAGGGGTGTGCTTTATAATTGCTAATGGTTTATGTTGTGTGAATTTAAAAAAAAAGTTTTTGTGCCTTAAAAAGCCAAGCACAGCGGGGGCGCAAAGCAGATTTTTGACTTTCTTTCAGGATTCATGCTTTCTTAGCTATCCGTTCTTCTCACCTCAGCTGGGTGGAAAAGGTCTCCCACAGAGACACAGGTTGCTGTCATCCTCCCAAGCAGCTGAGCATTTGGGCGTGTTCCCGAGCTCAACCCCACCATAAAGATTCCTGGCCAAGTCCACATTCTGCTTGTCTCTAGAGCCATTTGTATTTTATTTTACATGTTGACCCAAAAGAAGGGGTGGGAGGCGTGAGCTAGAAATCTTTCTGTGTGGCACTGAAGTTAGTTTTAAATGTTCCCTCGAGGTTAAACAAACAATAAGAAACAACAAGTAAAAAGGCCAAACACTCCGCTTTTGTGCATCCTCTGGCTTGGTATCCTGAGACACTTACCTCCCCAAAACCACCTTTTCCCAGCACGCGGAACTCAGTGAAATACTTGTCAGATACTGGCTGCATCTCAAAGAGCTTCCACTGCAGAAATCTATCGTAGAAGGGGCTGGCCAGGAAGTCCCTGAAGGGCCGGTCCTGCAAGAAGCCCAGGGCCCCCGCCTTGGCCAGAGCCACAGCGGCCACGCGCTCCTCTTCGGTGGCGGCCGCTTGGCACCTGGTGCAGAGCGCCGGGCTGAGGAAGGAATGAGGGTGCCCTGCGGCGGGGACACACGCGGCCAGCAGCCCCTGCAGTGCGAGGTCCTTGGCAGGCCCCTGCTCGGCGAGCTCCCAGGCCTGCACCTGCTCCAGGAAGGCCGAGGCTTCTCGGTACACAGGCTCCGAGGCCAGGAAGTCGCGGAAGAGCCTGCGGCCGATGGGCTGCTGCTCGCACAGGCTGTCGAAGTGCGGGGCCAGCGCGCGGCGCAGCGCCGCACAGTCCTGTGGCTCGGGCAGCACCAGGCCCCGACGCCAGCGCCGCAGCTCACGGTTATCCGTGTCCGAGGGCTTGCGGGCCTGCAGGTAGGCTGTGTTGGCGATCAGGTTGTCCAGGCCCCCCATGTCCATGGCTGGGCGCGCGGGTGGGAGGGCGGCGTGGGGACCGTCGTCGTTGGGGCTGGTGACGGTTGGCTGTCTGCCTCGGAGGTTAACTCACTGCCCCGGGATTTGCAGCGAGTGGGCCAGCCGGCCTGTGGGACCCTGGAGGGTACGACAGTGGTTTCTTCCATAAGAAGCTTTGCCTGGCTATGTTTAGCCAGCTAGTGGCCCCCATCCACGAGGTCAGAGCCGCCTGCATCACCTGTTCCCCCACCCCCTCCAGCCAGCTCCTCCTGGGGCCTTGCTCCAGTGCTCTGGCTCTGCATAGCTGGGACCAGCTTTCAAAATAAGGGAGAGGCATTTTAAGGTATTCTGCTGTTACAGGTTTCCTATCAGGGCAGGCTCGGTTGAATCCCAGAATAATGTTGAAGACGTTTTCCCCTGGTGCTTTGCAGCCTGATACACAGAGGAGCCTGATACACAGAGAATGCTCTAACCTGGGGGGCTGGGGCACGTGCCTATAATCCCAGCACTCTGGGAGCCTGAGGTAGGAGGATCACAAATTTGAACCCAACCTATGCAATTTATTGACTTAATGAGACCTTCTCTCAAAATTGAAAATAAAAGTAGAGCTGGGGATGTAGCTCAGTGTGAAGGCCCTGGGTTCAATCCCCAGGGTTGCAAACTAACTAAATCCTCTGAACTCTGAGTCCTGAGACATGCTCTTGGAAATACTGAGGACTCGAGTCATGGCCCTTGGCCCTTCAGGGCCTGTAGAAATCTTCCAGCTGTAACACCAGATGTGGTGGTGCACACCTGTTGTCCTGCAGTGCCTGCGAGGCTGAGGCAGGAGCATCACTGGGAGGCTGAGGCCAGCCTGGGCTACTTAGCAAGACCCTGTCTCAATAAAATAAAATAAAATAAAATAAAATAGAATAAAATAAAATAAAATAAAATATTCCTGCTATGGCTTGGTTAGCTCTTGAGAAGTCAATATCATCACGTGCCTTAGGTTTAAAAGAGAGGGGAGTGTCATTTTGACCTCAATGATATTTTAAGCAGCAAAGGCCATATTTCTGCAGTGGATCCATGAAGGGAATCCCCTGGGAGTGCGGGCTCTGAATGATGCAAGCATTTTCTGTGACCCCACAGACAGCACTGTACTTCACAGCACGTGGGCCTGGCTGTCCCAGGGGTGCAGCCTAACTACTGGACTCTAAATGCAGAACCTTCACGTGGACCCCAGCTCCCTGTTATTCAGGGAAATTTCTGGGGCTGCCACATCGTTGGCAGGAAGCAAGGATGCTGTCCTCCATGGCGGATGTTGGGAGCTGGGCTGTCACTGACAATGGTCTTACTGGGAGCAGAAATTGATTTAGACAGAGATCAGGCTAAGAGCCTCTGTTCCAAAAATAACAACTTGGGCTCTACAAGGGAAAGAATACTCAGGCTTTTTTTTTTTTTTTTTTAAATCAAAGCAAGGCTAAGGCAGCTTAAAAACAAAGTCATTCAGTATTATGCCCAAGCAGTTAAAAGGAGGGGGCAGGGGCTAGTCAGTCTTTTTCCAAACAAACATCCTCCAGCACACACTTTTGTCAAAACATCACTCTGACTGCCTCGTCCGCCTGTCAGCCTCTGACCCTTCCCCAGAGCAGCTACACACTTGGCCGCACGTGCTGGAGAATTATGTAACAAACTCGTGGGTGCCCTTTGGCTTCCCGCTGCTGAGCTGTAAGCGATCACTTCTCTTGGAGAGATGGGTGATCAGCATAAGTGCCCACTGCCCACAATCGTGCCATCTGCTCTGAGACCCACGTGGGTCATGGTGGTACTTTCTTCTTCTTAGTGTGCTATACCAGAGGCACCTTTCTGCACAGTGAAATCTCAATCTGGTCATTTTTACTGATGAGAAAATGCCTTTTCCCAAGGATCTTATGAAAATAGCAGTAACCTAACAGCCAAGAACTCTGAGGAAATGGTAGAACTGTCATCATACAGATATTTCACTGAGGAAAAAAAGGCTGTCACTGAAGAGTGTGTATGTGGTTAACTGGTTGATCTCACTCACCCTAATACTTTCTTAGAAATCCTTAGTAAATTCTTCACTTAGCAGTATCCATAGAAACACAGGAAGCCAACTGTTACTGCATTTCTAGTAACCACATTACAAAGGCCAGGAGACTGAGGCAGGAGGATTGCACAAGCTCGAGGCCAGCCTGGGCTACATAGTGAGTTTGAGGCCAGCCTTGGCTATATAGTGAGTTCAAGGCTAGCTGGAATTACAGAGTGAGTCCCCTGTTTTATTTTTTTAAAATCTTTTTAACATGTAGTTGATATAAAAGCTCCTAACAAGATATTTTTCATTCCTTTTTATGTCCCATGTCTGCATGTACTTCACAACACTTCTTAATCCAAACTAGCTATACCCCAACTGCTCAGTAGCTGTATATGACTACTTATGGGATAGCACAGACTGAAGCTTTGCTTATGTAGCTTTGTCACAAAAAAAGAAGTTTCTCTTATCATTGGTTGGTTTTCTAATCAGTGATACCATAGATCATCAGAGTAAAAATACTCATATATTAAAAATTATCTGGCCAATGAGATCAGAATTTAAATAATATTCAATACAAAAACTTGTAGATTTTGTATTGACTTTCATACTCATTTTTAGAAAATCTATTGTAGACTTCTTTTTCTTTTTTTTTTTTTTTTTTTTTTTTTTTTAGAGAAGGGCTTGCTATGCAATTCAGGCTGGCCTTGAAGTCACTTTGTAGACAAGGTTGATCTTGAACTTGCAACAATCTTTCTGCCTCAGCCTCCTAAATGCTGGGATTATAGGCATAGTGGTACAATTTTAAACAGAATACTATTATTTTTAAAGTTTGGCCCATCCAATAATATAGAGAACTCTGTTTTGTTTTGTTTTTTTCTTTTTCAGAACCGGGGATTGAACTCAGGACCTTGTGCTTGCCAGGCAAGCACTTATTCTACTGAGCCATCTCCCCAGCCCTTAGAACTCTGTTTAAAATAGAATCATTTGGGGCTGGGGAGAAAGCTCAGCAGTCTAAGCACCTGCCTGGCAAGCACAAGAATCTGGGTTTGATTCCCAGTACTGCATGCCATGCTGGCTCGAAGCCCCAGGTACTCTGTGCAGGACACTGAAACCGGGATCCAGTACTTTTCCCAACAAATGAAAACAATAATTGAAAGGCACCAAATCCTTACCTTAGAAGCAGAGGAGTTCCAAGTGGGGGAAGTAATCTTGGTTTGAGGTGTGGTCCAACAGCTTTGAGTACCAAGTGTAACACTACTTGGGCAATCTGAATCCTGGCTCAATCAAGTCTTAGCTGGGTGACCCTAGGCAGAGTAGCTAACTTCTCTGAGCCACAGCCTCAGCATCTGTAAAACAGAAATGATAAATATAGGTTCTTTGGAGTAAGTTCTTTATTTTGTAATTTTAAGTATTTATTTATTTGGTAAAGGGTCTCACTATACAACTCAGACTTACAGTGATCCTCCTGTTTCAGTCTCCCCGGTGCTGGGATTATAGGTGTGCACCATTCCGGGTTTCTGTGGCCAGTACAGCACAAGGCCAGTCTGGCGCAGGGCCAGTCCAGCATGCGGTACCAGGATCAAACCTGGGTCCTTGTGCTTTCTAGGCAGGCACTTAGACTGCTTAGCTATCTGCCGGCTGGAGTAAGTTCTTAAGAGGATTAAAGGCCAAACAATGTCTGCCATGAAGAATTGTTTTTTTAAAGAAGCATTAACTTTTATTTTTTATTTTTTTCTGGTGGAACCGGGGATTGAACTCAGACCCTTGCGCTTGCCAGGGAAGTGCTTACTCTACTGAGCCGTCTCCCCGCCCCCACCAACTTTTAAATACTGAGCCTTAATCGACAAAATCTGGTCTAAAAGCAAGTTTTTCTGTTATGCAGATTGGAGGAGGAAAGACTGGAGCAAGTGGAAGACAGTTTCGGTATCTAAGCCCACTGAGGGCCGAGCGCCAGGATCAGAGTTTGCAAAGAGAGCTGGGTCCTCTGTGGAGATGAAGGACAGGGAGGTCTGGCTGGTGGTAGTGCATGCCTGTAATCTCAACTGAGGGGGGCCTTGGAGGTGGGGGGCTGAGGCAGGAGGATCGTTGGGAGTTCGAGTTCAGTCTGGGTTACAAAGTGAGCTCAAGGCCAGCCTGAACTGCATAGCGAGACCCTGTCTCAAAAAGACAGAATAAAAAAGACAAGGAGATCAGATTTACTGACCTGAGGTCAGATTCAAGAAAACTGTTACAATGAAATGATTTGCTGTATGCTATCATGAAAACTGTCATGTGAAAAGAGGAGCTATATAATTTTAAACAAAAATTTTTGACTTTCGGGGCTGGGAAGATAGCTCAGTAGAATATACACTTGCCTGGCAAGTGCAAGGACCTGAGTTCAATCCCTGGTTACACACACACACACACACACACACACACACAAATTAACTTTCATAATGGTAGAAAGTAACTGTATTATTGTGTATTTTTGACCAACTTTATAACCTCGAGGAAAGAAAAGTAAGTCCCCTTTGCTCAGATCTTCTATTATTTTGTGTGTCATTTACAGCTTTTTGTAAATGATGTGCATGTTGTAAAGTTTTTGTTTTTGTGTTTTGAGACAGGCTCTTGCTATTGAGTTCAGGCTGGGCTTGAACTTGCTATGTAGGCCTGGCTGGCCTCAAACTCTTGACAATCCTGCCTCTGCCTTCTGAGTGCTGGGATTACAGGCATGTGCCACCTCATCAGTCCACATTCTAAATTTATTATTTATTCAATATATATATATATATGTATTTGGCACAGAGTCTCACTACAGACTCATAGTAATCCTCCTGGTTTCAGCTTCCCCAGTTCTGGGATTACAGGCATGCACCACCATGCTCAGACTCAGAGGCCAGCTCAGCGTGCCCAGGGGTTGGGTCAGCATGGCATGTGGTGCCAGGGATCGAACCTCAGTCCCTATGCTTGCCTAAGCAGGCACTTAGTCTGCTGAGCTATGTCGCTGGCCCTTTTGATGTTATTTCTTGTGCAACTGGGGCTCTATCCAGGAAGCCCTTGCCTATGTCTATGTCCTCATGAGTCTTACCTATTTTATCTTCCAGAAGATTGTTTTCTGCTTCAGCATTTTATTTGAGCACATGGTGAGCAATATGGGTCTGGATTCAATCTTCTGCATGTGGAGAGGTAGTTTCCTTAGTACCATTTGTTAAAAAGCTGGGCTATTTTTCCTGTGGTATATGTTTTATGTCTTTTTGTCATGAATGTGCCTAGATTGTTTCTGAATCTTCTGTCCTTATCTCAGTTATTTTTTGCCCATCGCTTGGACAAAATACCCAACACCTAAAATTAAGAAAGGAAAGGTTTATTTAGCTCTTAGTTAGCGGAGGTTTCAGTCCATTACTCTCCTGGCTCCAAGGCAGAGCAGCACAGGGCAGAGGGCAGCAGTTCATGGTGGTGGAAAACAGCAAAGAGCAAACGAAGGAGCAGCAGCTGTGGCATATAGCAATTCCTTCCACTCTGACTGCAGATTAGAGCTCCTCTGAGGAAGTGGTGTGCACAGTCCTTCCTCAGCTCCCTTTTACATCCTTTTGGTGCTGAGTCGCTCTAGGGCGGGCCCTCCATGCTCTAGGGAGGGCTCTGCACCCAAGGTATGAGTCACTGAGTGATCCAGGAAGGCTTCCAACTTATACAGCTGACACAATGTATCAACCACCACAGTCCCAATCCATTGATCCACATATTTGCTTTTGTGCCTGTACCATGTTCTTTTGTTTTTTTTAAATCACAGTAGCTTTGTAATATAACTTGAAATCCTGCGTTGTGATGCCGCCTTCTTTACTCTTATTGCCTAGGTTTGCTTTCTGCTATCCTACATCTCTTCTGGTTCAGTATAAATTTTAGGACTTTTTCTGTAGTCCTGTGAGGAGTGCTATTGGGATGATTCTGTTGAATCTGTGTACCAGTTTTGGAAGTATGACCATTTTGATGGTATTGGTTCTGTCTACCTAAGAATAGGGGATATCTTTCCAGTTTCTAATGTCTGCTTTTAGTTCCTTTTTTAGAGTACTATAGTTCTTATTACTTCTCTTTTGTATTAATTCCTAAATATTTAATTTTTATTTTTTCTAAATATTTAATTTTTCTAGTGCTCACTTTGGCAACACATATACTAAAATTGGAATGATACACAAGATACAGAGAAGATTGGCATGGCACCTATGTAAGGATGCACATTCGTAAATATTTAATTTTTCTTGAAGCTGTTGTGAACGGTATTGTTTTCCTAATCTCTTTTTTGGAGGGCTAGTTATTGGTGCATAGGATTATTTTTATGTTGATTTTTGTGTGTTGATTTTGTAACTGATGCTTTGCTAAATTCATTTCTTAGGTTTAGTAGTTTTTGGTGGAATTTTTGGGGGCTTCTATGTAAAGGATCTTATAATCTACAAATAATGACAATTTGACTTCTCCCTCTCCTGTACATATCCCTTTTATTTCTTCCTCTTGCCTGATTGGGATGGCTAATGATTGGAGTACTACTATATTGAACAAGTGTCTTGTTTCTGATTTTAAAGGAAAAGTTTCCAGGTTTTCTCCATTTAATGTGATGTTGGTAGTAAGTTTGTCATAAATGTCTTTTATCAGATAGAGATGTTTTTTGTATACCTATGTTCTTCAGGGTTTTTTCATGAACAGATGTTGGATTTTTGTGGAGGACCACCTGGGCAACTCTCTTTGAAAGAAGAGCAGTTGTCTCCATTTAGGCTGTGCATGACCCTATAACCATGTATTAATAGGTACAGAGCTGGTTAGAAAATTTCCTTATCCTTTCAGTTGGCTTTTAGCAGTGCATATTGGTCTAGCTGAGGTGCTGGTTATAGTCTTTGAAGATGGCATGCATGTTTCCCCGATAACTCACACCTGCTGCTCATTCATATGAACCAGGTAGAGACAGGACAAAGAGCCAGTGCTCCACACGGTTGGCTGGGATCAAGCCTCGAGTTAGAGGCTATGACTTTCTGGGGCTCGAAAGATTACACATCAGAGCTAAAACACTGGACCCCAAAACATTAGATACTATCTCAATAATATAATGCAAATCACTTTTTCTGCATATCCTTCTCTGCATATCACAGAGGTAAATGCAGGCTCCTACCTAGCCCAGCTCACAGTACTCACCTACTTCCTACAATTTGCAGTCATTCATCCTCAAGCCACTCCTCCTTCATGACTGAATAAAACCCAGGTTCAGCTCTGGGCCAAGCCTTTGTTCTGGATAGCCATCACTATCGCTAGACTTAGGACCCCTTGGCTCCCCATATTTATAAATATGCATTAGTATCTTTAATTTTGCTGTGGATTGCACTAGGAGTGGTAGGTTGGAATTAACTTGGTGGGATTCCAGTCACATATCTTTGGAATTACAAATATAAACTTCTTGGACAGAGAAAAGGACCAAAAAGGGCTCACTACAGATTTTGCCAAAGGCTTTTTCTGCATCTGTTGAGATGATCATTTGATTTTGTCCTTGTTTCTATTCATGTCACACATTACCTTTATTGATTTACATGTTGAGCCACCCTTGTATTTCAGGGATGAAATCTACTTGGTTATAACATAGGATCTAAAAGATCTAGTATATTCTGTTTCACAATACTTTATCACATTGAAGATCTTTGTGTCTGTGTTCATTAGTGAGATTGGCCTGTGGGTTCATTTTCAATTGAGTCCTTCTCTGGATATAGCATCAAGGTAATGCTAGCTTCTAGGAATGAGTTCTGAGTACTCCTTCCCTTTTAACTTCATTAAAGAGATAGAGGAGGGCCAGGGAGATAGTTCAGTGGCTCCTGGTCATGCAAGTGCAAGATATGAGTTTGATCCCTTGGTACTGAAAAAGAAAGAAAGTATAAAAGAAAAGAAAAGAAAAAGAAAGAGAAGCAAAAAGAGATAGAAAAGCACTGGTGTTAGATCCTCCTTGAAGTTCTTGCAGAATTTTGTAGTGAATTCATTAGGACCTGGGTTTTTCTTACTTGGTAGTTTTGTTTCTTTCTTAATTAATGTCGCAGGGCCAGCCAGATAGCTCATCAGATTAAAGCACCTGCTTAGGCAGACACAGGGACCAAGGATCGATTCCTGGTATGTTGTGCCAGCCCTGTCCCTAGGGCATGCTGAGACATGAGTGTGGTGGCGTGCACCTGTAATCCCAGTGCTTGGGAGGCTGAAAACAAGCACTATGAGTCTGATCTGTGTAATGAGACCCTTGTAGAATCTGTACTAAATACATCAAAAAAAAATTAATGTCTCATCCAGGTGTGGTGGCACATGTCTATAATCTCAGCATTTGGGGGCAGGTGAGGCAGGAGGATTGTTGTGAGTTCAAGATCAGCCTGAACTACAATGTAAGCTCAAGACTAGCCTGACAGGGTCCGGGAGATGGCTCAGTGGAATAAGTGCTTCCCTGGCAAGCACAAGGGCCTGAGTTCAATCCCTGGTTCTAAAAAAAAAAAAAAAAGACTAGCCTGAACTGCATAGTGAGACCCTGTTTCAATAAAACAAACAGAAAATTAATGTTTCAATTTTGTTGCTTATCATTGCATTTTTCAGCATTTTTATATCTTCTTTGTTCAGTTTTGATAACTCATATATATCTAGGAATCTATCCATTTTTTCTGGATCCTCAAATTTATTGGAGCATAGGTATTGGAAGTAGTTACTAATGATCTAGATTTCAGCAGTGTCCGTCATAATTCACCTTTTTCATTTCTAGTTGCACTCATATGACTCTTTTCTTTCTTTTATTGGTAATATTGGCTAAGAGTTTGTCTATTTTGTTTATTCTTTCAAAGGACAAGGTTTTTTTTGCTTTTGTTTTTGCGGTACTGGGGATTGAATCCAGGAACTTCCACTTGCCAAGCAAGTGCTTATTCTACTGCCCCAGCCCTAGGACAAGTTCTTCAATTCCATCCTGTGCATTTCTTTTCTGATTCTTTGTTTTTGTCTCATTTTCATTAATTTATTCTTTCTTTCTTTCTTTCTTTCTTTCTTTCTTTCTTTCTTTCTTTCTTTCTTTCTTCTTTTTTTTGTGGTTTTTTTTTTTAAGTTCCAGGAGCTTTTATTGTTTGAATAACAGCACACATAAAGCCAGCCCGAGAAGTCCCCAGGGAAACGAAGGTCACGTTTCACTGTAATTCGCCCTTTGGTCCTTCATCTTCTAAGCACTTACTGCATTTTCTTTTAATGATATTAGACATCTATTTTGATCACAAATGCAATCCAAGTGTGAATAAATAAATGTAGTATCTTCTATCCCTCTTCATGTTTCTTTAAATAGAAAAAGTGCTAAAAGTCTCTTCATAGCCTATTTGGCCACAGTTGTCCCGCCTACAGTTTTAAAAACAGACTGTAACTTGATCTTCTAAAACCCTTTTTCAACGCAGCTCATTCTGATGAGAAGACCCTGGGAGCCAAGTCCTACTGATACTGCCGGTAGTCTCCAAAAGGTGAAGATGGTAACTGGGCTGAAGGCAACTGGGAGGGATCTTCCGCAAACTGAGGGCCGTTGGGAAATTGTGAAGAGGCAAATCTTGTCAACAAGATACCAGCTCCTTCGATTAAAGCTAGGAGAATGCCACCCATCGCAGCTGACCCGACCATGGCCACCGGTCCATTTCTCGCTGCCAGGATGGCCCCTGTCAAGGCACCACTAGTGATGGAATTCCAGGGGTCTTCTTTGCCTCTGACTTGAACCATACTACAGTCAATCATGGAGAACAGACCTCCCCAAACGGCAAAGCTACCTCCCAACTGTGGAGCCCTGGTTTTAATAGCTGTCAAACTCCCTCGAAGTCTGTGGTTTACTCCCACTGGAGAATTTCGAAAACCTTTGATAGCTTGAAAGATCCCGCCGCCTATGGTGCCCATCGTAAAGGCTCCACCGCAGTCATCCACAATTCGCCAGGGGCAAGGTTCTCGAGCATACTCCTCCATCTTGACTTCCAGCCGCGTGAGCAAGCTTGTGTGTGTTTTTGAGACAGGATCTCACTATGAAGCGTGGACTGGCCTTGAGCTCACTTTGTAGCCTAGGTTGGTCTTGAACTCACAATAATCCTCCTGCCTCAGCCTCCTGAGTGCTGGGATTATAGGCATGTGCCATTATGCCTGACTAATGTCATTAATTTCTGAACTTACAATTTCCTTCCTTATATTTCCTTAGGATTTAATTCCTCTTGTTTTTCTTGGACTTTGAAGTGCATCATTTATTTATTTTGGTTTATTCCTTTATTGATGTGGGCATTCACCGCTATAGACTTCCCTCTTAAGACTGTTTTCATTATGTCCAGTAGGTCCTGATATGTTACCCTGGCATTAATCATTTGATTTCAGAGTTGTCTAATTCTTCCTTGATTTATTCTGTGATTATTATTCAAGAGTGTATTGTTTAATCTGTGGTGGCAGATGCCTGTGATCCTAGTATTTGGGAGGAGTAGTCAGGAAACTTGTGTTGCCACAAGTGTGAGGTTAACCTGGGCAACATAGTGAGGTCAGGTCAGTCTGAACTACATAGAGAGAACCTGCGTCAAAAAAAGTATATTGTTCAATATCCATGTGTTTGCATAATTTCTGTGGTTTTTTTTGTTTTTGTTTTTTTTTTTGCTATTGATTTTTAGTTTCATTGCACTACCATCTCGCAATGTGTGTGAGATAATTTTGGTTCTTTATACTTATTTAAGCATATTTTATTGGCTAGCACGTGGTCTATTTGGAGAAAGTTTCATGTTCTGCTGGGGAGAATGTTCATTCTGTTGTACGGTACACTCTGAAAATAGCTAGTAAGTCCATTTGTTTAAAGGTGTGATTCAACTCTAGTATTTCTTTGTTGGTTTTTCTTCTAGTGGATAGTGTGGCGGTGAGGTCCCCATTAGAGTTGTTGATGTTTGTCTAATCTTTTACATCTGGTAGAGCTTGTTTTATAAAGTTGGCTATGCTTGTGTTCAGTGTAAGTGCATTTATATAGTTATTACTTCCTGTTCAGTTGTTCCCTTAACCAAAACATAGTGATCTTCTTTGCTTTACGTTATCACTTTTGGCCTGAAGTACACTTTGAAAATAAAACAGCCACTTGTGCTGGCTTTTTGTTTCCTGTTTCATGAACTGTTTTCTTCCATCCTGTGCATTTCTTTTCTGATTAAATATGTTCTTTGTACATAGCATATCTTGGGTTTTGCGTTTTGGTCCAATGTGTCAATCTGTGTCTTTTGACTGGGTAACTGAGACCATTCACTTTGACAGTTACTACTGAAATGTAGCGCCATATCCCTGTCATTGTCCTGCTGCTGATTCCTTTCTTCCCTTTCTGCTTAAATGCTCAGCCTACCTGATGTATTTATTCCATTAAATGTTTTCACATTGTTGACTTCTTTTTCTCCGAGGATATCCTTGAAAATTTTTTTGAGAACTAGTTTTGTGGTCATGAATTTCTAAAGATTCTCTTTTTCATGGAAAAACCTTGTTTCATTATCAATTTTAAAAGATAGCTCTCTAGGATATATCAGGGTGGGTTGGAAGTTGTTTTCATTTAGGGCTTAACATGTTCCTGCCAGCTTGAACCACCCATGGCACCTGCATAACTGTCTTATGTGGTGGCTTATACCACTGGTGGCACGAATGGATCTAATTATTTTTATTGGTCTTTTTAGTAATAAAATCAAAGCTTCCCAGAAGTGATATGTGGTATACAAATTTAATCAGAACCACTCAGGAATGAGACATATGAATTGTGGCCCCGCCTGAATGTATTAAAACAAATCAAGCTCTTCTGATTTTTAAGGTTTTTTTTTTCTTTTGTTTTTTTGAGCTAGGGTCTTACTATGCAGTTCAAGCTGACCTTAAAATCACTTTGTAGTCCAGGGTGGTCTTAAACTCACAGAAATCCTCCTGCCTCAGCCTCCGGTGTGCTGGGATTACAGGTGAAAAAAGATTTCTAAAAAATCCTATTAAAGGGTAAAAGAAAATTAATAGAATTAGATAAGAGTAATAGAAAAGAACAAACAAAAAATAAAAATGGAGCAAAGTAAGGAAAAAAAGGGAAGAACAATGACGGAAAAGAGAAATGAGTTTTTTAAAAAAATTATTCCAGAGTTGGGGAGTAGCTATTCTACTTATTCAGTAGAATAAGTGCTTGCCTGGCAAGTGCAGGGTCCTGAGTTCAATCCCTGATACAGGAAAAAAAAATCTTCCAAATTTTTGAATGAGTGCCATCTTTCTGCAGTCTGGTACAGGAGAGAGACAGTAAGTCACTATTAAAACCTATTTTGGGGGCTGGGGAGATAGCTCAGTGGTCTAAATACCTGCCTGGCAAGCACGAGGACCCTGGTTTAATCCCCAGTGCTGCATGC